CGGCATCATTAGTGTGTTGTTTTTGGCCAAAAATTCGCGCACAAGCAACGATGTGTGAGCAGGCAACCCGTCTCATGCCCAAATCATTGGTAAAAATCGAATGGCACGAGCCAATCGATATGTTTAGGTCCTCAGCAACTTCTCTAACGGTGATTCGACGATTGGCCAATACTATTTTCTTCACTTCATCAATGTTTTCGTCTGTTGTTGACGTGCTCGGGCGTCCGGCACGTTCTTCGTCGTTCACATCTTCTCGGCCCTCTGAGAACATTTTGTACCACCGATAAACGTTGCTTCGGTCCAAGGTAGCTTCACCATATGCCTTAGTCAACATTCGGAATGCGTCCGCGCACTTAATTTTGTTTTTCACACAAAATTTGATACAGATTCTTTGATCCATTTTTTGGAATAGGCAAAAATCGAAGACGAGCCAAGACGTGCAAGCAAAGCAGCTGTCAAAAATTAACTAAACATTCAAAATGGCCGAACTTGTCGGCATAAGTGAGAGACATGAGTGCCAACATAACGCCACAAAAAAATCGAAAATCGAATATACGTAACCCGCGGAAATTCAAAATTCGCGATACTTTTTGAACAGACCTCGTATAATCACGCAATTAGACACGAACTCCGTCGAACGAGGACGTCGACAACCGGCCTCTCAGCTACGGTAATGGTAGAGGGGGTGACTCGAGGGAAAACGGTCAAGGTTCGGGGAGCAAGAATATTCTGGAAGAAATAACAGTGATTAATAACAATAAAAGTAACAAATATATTTGACGAGCAAGTATTACAGTTTGGTAGTATGAATAATACACGACAAGAGACGAGAACACTCGGTACGCGAAGCAATACTGCTTGCACAAAATTGACGGAGACTCGTAACTCGCGTATTCTACGATCGTATTATGAGATCGTATCTCGGACAAACGGAAATTCAAGACTTACTTCTCTTCGGTGGCACGAAATCGTTAATTACATCTCCTTCGCATCCGCGCGACACGCGGAATCGGAAATCATGCAGTGCGGGCGTGATATTCGCTAGTACGCCGGCGCGGAGCGTTCGGCGTATACGGACAAACGTGATCGACGCAAGATGGATCGAAAATATGTGACGAATGTGTCCCGCGGGATCCCATGATCCCGGAAATTCTCTTGAATTCCGTTCCAGCGGCGTAAGGCCTCTTCGGAAACACGAATTATCACCCGCACACACAATTACGGAAATATTACACTACAATTACTGACTTGGCTGTGGCGTTCGGCGGGCGCGGGGCGCGACGGTCCTGTAAGAACTCTCGACGTACAATGTCAGACGGGGCGCTGAAATATATGGAAGCTTTATCGGCTCTAGCCGTGTCGCACAACGAAAATGATAATTATTATTAGCGCGCATTCCTTGCGGCCCGTCAGACACACAAAAATCGGCGGCTTTACATCAATATGCTCGTCTCACCTAGAACTCCTCTTTACGGAAACGGCAGCTCGCTTCTCGGCACCTCTGCGGACTTTGTCTCTTGTACGGTTTTGTCCCTCGTACGGCTTTGTCTATCGGACGGCTTTGCCTCTCGTCCTGCGTCCTTCCTAGCTCTTAGCCACAGCACAAGTGCCGGGCGCCACTGCTTCCGTGATCTCGCCGGGCCGGTGGGCCCACGCGGTACATCTTTACGCGCCCCTAATTGGCGGACGTGCGAGCTCGTGACCCCCGCGAATCGCGTGAGGTGCGTAGCGCCGCGAGTCCTGTGTCCCCGCGCGCGGTATTCAAATTCCAGGCGACGTCCTTCTGTCGGCGGTATCACTAGGTACGCTCCCGTTGTGGCACGCTCAGGTGGCTGGTCCTGCGGAACTCCTCCTTGTCAGGGGCCGTGCCTGGCGGCCGATCTTATTCTCGAGGTGCTCGGTTACGTTTCCGACTGCGGGGTTTCTCGCCCGGTCCAGGGTGCAGAGTGGCCATCCCATTTTATCCTCCCCTTAGCTGGCTCGCACCGGAATCTGTAAGGAAGCTCGGCGGCTAAATTGTTCTCGAGTTAAGGAACGGCACGCGAATCAAAAGATACGACCTGTGTACGCTGTATTCTCGGGGTATCTTCTTTGTTCTCGTGGTCCTCTTCCACTGGTCGCTACGGCGTCGGTGAGACGTGGAAAATCCTACAACTTGTTGGGAGCCGCCGATACGGCATAACAAATAGTCAAGATCGCTACGGAAACTATAAAGACGGTTATAAACGGTATTCGGTACTCGAGCGGCGGGAGCCACGCAAATGTGGTCCCGCGGTCCTCGCCACGCGTCCGCCTCCGAAAATCGGGAGGACGCAGGACTCAAAACTATCGTCCGCGGTCGGGTCCACAGATCCCTTGTGACTGACAATCCAAAAAGGGATGTCACGTCACAATATATATATATATATATATATATATATATACATATTATCGTTATGCGGAGTGACAAAAACGAGCTCCAGCATATTTAAACAATTAGGGGCTCGGCGCCAGTGATCCTAGATTTTCTACCGCCACGTCGAGATGTTGCGTCACAAAGGAGGTCCCGACTCGTTATCGACCCGCTTCGAGCCGTTGCGTCGTCAAAGGATCTCTGACGCGTTTGTTTACCTGCCAAGAGGTCTGTGGCTTTATTACCATCCAAGGCCGTTCGGTGAAAACGTCAGGCATTACCAAAAGGAATAAGGGCGGTTATGATCATGAGAGATCGAGTGTCGAGCCTCACTCAAGTCCGATACGCGGATCCGAAAGCATCTTCGGCCGAGTGAATTCGGTATCCGATGAGTCGGCTCATTAGAGAATACATTCAACGTAAAGCGTATGAAATCGTGTGTGCTCGAGCCTAGCGCGATTCAAGGCGACGGCTTTAAGCGTGATCGCGCGTTCGTCCGATACTCGTGGCTCGCGACGATCAGGGATCCGGACCGAAAGAAAATTTCAGTCCGGTTACGGTTACGGTCCGAGGTTATTCCCAATTTTCGGTTTCGGTTTCGGTTTCAGTTCTTTTGCCGATATTGGTGACCGTAACCGTTTGGATTTCGGTCTTTTTTGGTTACGGTTACGGTTACGGTTATACATATAATTACTTATTGTGAAATTTATAAAAGATAAGTATTATGCATAAAAAAAGTATTACAAATTTAAGTTGAATATTATAAAAAATTTATCTCTGTTGAATAAAATCCTTGTTGACGAAAATTCGGT